ATGAGGAGATGCCAGGTGACCTCTAAGGTCCCTGCTGCCCTGAGGGTCTAGTTCTTATTTTCAAATGTTTTCCAGGAGCACAGACCTTCAAGCTAAAAGAGTTGAATAATAACTGAGAGTCACAAGGCAGGATAAAGAAAACATTTTTAAAAAACAGCACCAAAAAATTCATATTTTCTACTTCCTAAGAAATTAGACATTTTTTATTTAAACATAATAAAAAGGTACATTTTAAAAAGTTAAATCCCTGCAAACACTGAAATACATAGTAAAAGACAAACAAACGAACAGGAAAAACTTCATTCAAACCTTCAGTTTGAATGTCCTGCAGAGACAGGGGCTTGGAGATCTAACCAAGAGCAGTACTGGTGCTCTTCAGAAGGGCTCCTTTCCAAAACAAGGTATGTCTCTGAACACCCATCGGAATTAGGACATGGCAAACATTACATGAATGTTTCTGTTTAGGGTCTCTGATTCCTGTGCATACAGCATCTTATCCTCTTGGTGTCAGTAAGAGTTGACATTCATTTGCATATACATAGGGACATTAAAAACAACAACAACAATAATACAGAAGAGCCAACAAGCGCAGAGAGCATGATGGGCCACTACTGGACTGTCACAAAATGTGTCATCTTCATTAATGGAAATTGGTAGTCACCACCCACTGATTGGAATTTTTAAGTAAATATTTATTAATGAAACTTCTTACCACAACAAAAATTTATGTTACTTAGGGGAAAATGTCTCTAAACATTCATAGTATTTTTCTGAATATAGTGATATATTCTGTATATATATATATATGTACATATATATATATGTATCATATAATAGCTTTAGAAATAATATAGTTCCATAAGTTGAAACAAATTTTCAACACAAATTCAAAGTCTGTTTTAGGAATTGCTTTTCATCTGCAACGTAACTAATAGTTATGAAAAAATAGCTTTGGAGAGAGGCTCTAGGAAACATTTCATTTCATTCTATGCCTAGGTTCCATAGTAAAGGACGACTTGCATGACTGTACGACCACATGGAAGGTATAAAAAGGCAAGGAATGAATTGAGAGGTGGGTGGATCACAGACTTTTAACTTTTGGCTAGCTACATGAGATATTCCAGCTGTGAATGAATAGAATGCATAACAAGTGATTCCAATTTAAGCTAATAACTGTGCTTACATTCTAGTCTACCGGTTTTCACGATAAAGACATCAGCAGACTAAAGAGAAAGAATCCAGTCCATATTGTGTAAAGGCAAGGACATTTCCAGAATATTAAGGTGAAAAATAAATTTTTAATTCTAGAAATTCTATGGTCCTCTCCCTTCATTAAGACAAAAGTGACTAGAGATCAATGTATGTAATTAAGACACAGTTGTACGGGCAAGGGAGGTGTTTCTGTTAGTTGCTGTAACTTCTTTCTGGACATGAAGCTCCTTTTCTTCACTTACAATAAATTAATAGCATAGCTTCTGCCACTCCAAACTAAAAATGGCAACAGTGAAACCCATTTGCTATTTTAGACAATGACTAATAGGATGCATATTTCATAATATCATGATACAAATAATTTAAAATTCACAAGTAATTAAAAACACTTCTTTACCTAACTTGTCCTAGAATGACAACTAAAGTCACTTTTTTTAATCCCTCATTTATCAGACCACATTTATATGAAAGAAGAAATAAAATCTTTTCATGTTCCATGAGGAGGCAAGAGGGATGAAGGCAGAATGAAATTTGACACAGTGCAAAAATATGGTGGAAGTGAAATCTTCAAAGAAAGAAGTTGCATTAGGAATTAGTCTTTTTTGTTACTGTTGTTCTTTTACCTGTTTAACCACTCAGTAAGGAATTAGTCTTTCTAAGGATAATTCTCTACTCATGTTTTCCTGAACACAAATAACTGCTAGAAAATGTAAATAGAATATAGGTACATGGAATTAATATAAATGTTCTTTAAAACATTTCGAAATCCCACAGCAGAATAGGAAACCTAATTATCATACTCTGAAACGTATCCGGTAAATAGAGCTGATTCTTTTGTCTGTTCTAATAAGGGTCTGTCTTCTTTTGAACTAAGTTGGCCTTCTCCTATATATGGAAGTCTAGAAACTCTTGAACAGACTACAAATTATATGTCTCTGCTGGCCTGGAAATTTCTACCCTTGACGTTTCTGGTTTTGTTGCCCATTTTGGGGGCAGAAGAGAGGATGCAGGTTGGGCAGAGTGGTGCAGTTTCCTCCCAGCCCTACAATCAGAAACGGCCTGCACAGGGGGGAATGCAGCCACAGGGCTGAGTCGAGGGCAAGTGCAGGGTAGGATCCTCTCTTTTTGACATTTTGTTTACCACAAATTTCTTTTTTGCATTAATTTTAATTTTAAAAAATATTGCATCACTGAGATTTTTGGCACCCACTTAAATTTTGCACCCAGGCATGAGTACCTCACCTGCCTCACCCTAGGCCTGGTCCTACTCACCCAGCACCCAGGCTGTGGGCTGAGGTCCATCTGTGGAGCCACAGCGGAGCACAACCTCTCCCTTTTACCTTTCTCAGCTCAGATGGGGCAAAAAAGGCTCCTAGAAAAACTAAGCTCTCCCTGCTTGCAAAAATGAAAAGGAAGGGTAAAGAAAAGTCTCCTCTTTGCCTAAGAGGGAACCAATATGCATGTTAGGAAACAGTAGTTATCACCGACAGCACTGACCCTTCGGAACTTTAGCTGTTCTCTGTCCCAGTGCTTATTCGTTTCTGGTAAGGAACCATAAGAACTAATACCCAGAAAGCGGACTTAGCAGCAGAAACATGGAGTCAGAGTAATACATTACTTCAAAAAGTATGCAAAATCTCTCCAAAGAATCATAAGTTAAATAAAAATGAGAGACTTGATATACACACAATATAAATGTGACATAAAGCTCTTTTATATAATGAAATCAGCAGGATTACATGTGGTACAGCTAAACTAACACCAACAGTACCTTTTCATTCTTGAAAAGAACAAAATAATACATTCAGTCTATTGCTAAACTACTCACAGGATGGGCTGGTATGTGTATCCCTGTATTTCCCAAAAACGTATACTTACTGTCCGCAGGCAGCGGTAGCCACTGCACACCACGAAAAACACTGGGGCCCTGTTTTCTCTCCTGAGTAGGGTGGAGAAAAGGATGCTTTCAGAAACATTATCTTACTCAATGCCCCAGTAACCTGTAAGGGAGAGATAGTCTCACAGAGAGGATTGGGAGATACTGGGGGAAAGCTTCCCTTCCGGCAGTTGCTACAGCTAGTATCATGAAGCCCCTAGGTGTCATGCTGTTTTCTTTGCAGGGTATGATAAGACTAGATGTAATGTTACTACACTGTCTCATTTCAGCAAGTAGTCTCAGCATACAATTGTTCGGAGAGGTGAAATACAGGGGCTTCAGTTCTTTGCCCTATCATGGAAGGAACTTTTGGACACTGCAGTACTTTGTGGAAAATGGAAGCTAAAGCTACAGGCAATAAAAGGTCTCAAAAGGAAAGATGAAAGTTAGGGACATCGATCTGGTTAAAAGCCCTCAAAATTAACTAGTGAATGCTGACATTAGAAGGGCGTTGGTCTTTAGGTATTAACATGGGCATATATCTACTTTATGCATTTCTATGCAGATTTAGTATAAAAAATACCTAAATATATATTTAATTCCATAGGATCCCAAAGCACTTTGGGGATTTAAACAGATAAGCCAACCTCAAAGGGACTGATTCTTGCAACTAAAACACAGACACCTCTGGGGTGAAATGTGGCAACAGTTTGACAGGCATAGCAGTAGCTTAGGCCAGAAAGGATTTATCCAATTAAAATTATGGGATGAATTTTGGCTGGCAGAATGTAATTACCAGCCTTGGAATGGATCCAGGATCCTGAGGTTAACACCCCTCCTCTTGCCAACCACCCTCCTACCTGCCAACACTCTGAGATGGAGAAGGCTGGATTTGACATAATCGCACATAATACTGTTGTGACATCTAAGTACAATGATGATGATGTGAGAAGCATCATGAACCTGATTTTTTTTAACACTCATTATGTTACTTATTTTTATGCCACATTAGGCTAGAAACCAAATGTCCACATAAATGTTAATTTCCTCAAATCTGTGTTTAAAAATTATAATTAGAAAATAAAAAATAGATTTAAAAATTAATTTATGCCGTCAAAGTAGTTATTTAGTGATTATTTCACTACAGGAACAAAATTGGATCAAAATGGTGACATTTAATCCTTGCTACATTAAAAAAAGCAGGTCCTGATTTTTTGGAAGAGAAATGTGTTCTCAAGGTTGACTGGCCTAGAAAAAAAAAAGGAAATGAGTAAGCCCGGTTCATGTTCGTTGTAAGTTTAACTAAACGGGTATGTTCAAGTACTCCTTCTGTCCTGGGGTGGGTCCAGTTCATAGACACAGGCACTCGCGGGCAGTAATTTCCCAGGAGGGAATTTACTAGAGGGGGGGTGTGTGTCCCTCCTAAGGAAACCAGAGAAGAGCCCCCTGCTGGTGCACGATCAATGAGCAAAGACCTCATTAGCTTCTAATGCCCTTTAAAAAGTCGTTCATTTGCAACAGAGAATTGCGGAGAGTTCCGCGATAAAGAAGAGCAGACGAAAAGGCACTACTGAAAAGAACGACCAGCTTTCGGGGACGCGGGGCACGCGGTGGCGGGGCAGGGAGGGCGAGGCAGGACTCGGGCGGTGCGCGGCCGGGGAGCGCGCCCGGGCGCCCGAGAGGCGGAGCCGGCAGCGCAGGCTGCGCGCAGGTCACGCTCGGCCACTGCGGCTCGGCGGTCCGGCCGCTCCGCCGTCCCTCGGCGCGTGCAGGTCGGTTCCGTCCCCAAACGCGAGCGGCAGGCGCGGCCGCTGGCTAGAGAGCCGGGCCCGGGCAGCGAGCGCCGGCCGCCCCGCGCTCCCTCCCTGGCCGGAGCCCGCGCGCCCGGCGCCCCTGTCGCTCCCCGCGGGCCTCCTGGGGCCCCGGAAGTCACTCGGGTTGCCGTTCGGCCCACGTGGCCCTGGGACACTCCACCCTGGAACCGAGCCGGGACCGCGCAGGGGGACCGCAGCGCGGGGTGCCGGCGCCGAGCACGCGTTCCCGCTGCCTCTGCGAGCCTCCTTGCGGCCTCAAAAGTGCCAGTGGGGTGCGTGCGCCCGGGGCAGGTGAACTGCTTCACTTTGTACTTGGCACTTGCCGGGCCAACTTACTTAGTTACTCCGGGCCGGGTAGAGTGGGGAGGGGGTAGTGTTCTCGTCTGTCACCGGAAGTCATCGAACGGTAATTGAAGGGATGGGCTGGGCGGACTAGGATCTCCCTGTCCTTAACCACAGAGTTGGGGGCTTGCGTTTGGGTCACTTTCTTAGAGGAAAGTGCTGTCCAAACTTCTTGTACTGCCGCTCATTTCAGCTTTTGCTATGAAGGTGAATTTTCTAACACCATCTTTGTGTGATTTAGCTGTCCACAGGGAATCAAAATGTGGAATGAGAGGATGAAACTAATCCTTTCTTTTGCACTGTTAGGGGTTGCCATAAACACCATTTGTTAAAAAGCATAATTATGTTGGGAAAGTGCCTGATGAGACAATTAAGCTACATAAACACACTGAAAACAAATGAAAACCAGAAGACGCCCACACCCCTTGTGTAAAGCAATTTTTTGTTTACATAGAAATGAAAGGTCTGGGCTGCTTTATTACAACAATGTTATTAATGTCTAGAAAACCCTAATGGTTACATTTTTATGAATTTTCGGTGATAGATGATGGTCCCAATATGAAAACCGGCCTGCAAATCTGAACTAGCCACGAAGCCCTAAGCTCCATCTAGGTTAAGACGTTAGGCAATAGTCCCAGCGGACAGAAGCCAGTGGATTTATTCATGGACCGTACCATTATTTGCACCAGAGAACTTTTAGCTTAAACTCTGAAGTTTAAAGTTTGTCTCAGAGTTGGACACCATTCACTGCAGTATTCCCCACATGAAGAACATCACCTGACACACAATGACTGTCATCAAATATTTGTTAAATGAATTTCATGAGGGCCACATTCATTTTAGTTATGATATTTAAAAGAAGCCAAAATTATGATGTCCTAATCTTGAAAAGGGGAATTATTTTCTTGTTATTTTGAGATATTTTAATTCCTTTAAATCATACTATCATTTGAGGTATACAAAAAATGTCATTCTAGAATACTAAAAAGCTTCAAAGCAACCTCCAAAACTTGTGTAACAATCCATTTTCAGCAAAAGAATCAGTCACATTTTTGGCATTATTGAGTAATATATTTCAGAGTATGTGTCATTTTTCAGTCCTGTGAAAAGATTTAAACTGATTTAGAAACTTTGGAGATCAAAGTACAAGGAGCAACTTAGTCAACCAAACAGTTGTCATTTAAAGCACCCAAATGGGTCCCTTTTATGTGTTCATATAATTAATATCCATGGCATGGCCTGTGGAGATACTTTTTCTTTTTGTCACAGAATAGTTTTTATGAGAATCAGTATATTAAATAATCTCCCTCATTTCCCTTTTTTTTTTTATTTCCCCAGTAAGTCTAGTTTAACAACAACAACAAAATACCTATTAAACAGTGCAGACCTCAAAAACGGGTAAGCTAAGGAAGATCATGTTTAAAATGGGATAGCATACTTTAATGAAAAGTTTCATTGACATGACAAAATTCAGGCTGAGTAACTTGCCAGGTATTTTCCAGTGTTGTTACTATGTTCATATGTGCATGGCCATATACACACATGGTTTTCTATTTGAGTCAGTCTTAGGGTTTTATCCTTTAGGTGTTTGCTAGGAATGACATAGTGAAGTGTTCACATTATGACTGCCTGGTTTCCAAAAAGTTGTGATTTTTAGGGTTAAAAAAAAGAAAATAATCAACTACAGAGACTGAAATAAAGAACCATTTTTCTGCTATTCTAGAAAAATCATGTCCAGACTGGGGCTCCGTTTGGCTGCCTGTTTACTAAACATTTCAGAAGCCAGAAGAAAATACATTGTTGAGAACATAGCAGAAGCAGCTCTTCTTGACAAAAATGGTAGGAACAACTGACAATTGAAGCGAATATTGTAGTGTTTTGATAACATAGTAATTTTTGTACTCTGCACAGCGTATCTACAGAACACTTTTCTTTCTTTCTTCCTAGATTTTCCCCCTTGTTATAGCTTCTTCTGCACGACTCCAGGATGCTAAGACAGATCAGTTACTCAGATGTGCACATATGCTCTTTTCCAAATGCCTGCATACACTCAGCAGTGCAGCTCTGTGAGTCTCCGAGATGCACACTGTTCGGGATATTGACAGGCTCCTGAGGAGGCTATATTTACATAAAAGTATAATGTTTCCCCCACGGGCCATTTATTTGATCATTAATAGAATGAGCATAATGGTACCTTCTGCTATTTATTCAGCAGGTTAAATGAAAAATAAACTTGCCAAGTACCAAGTACTTTCCAAAGCACTCCTGCCAGCAGACCCCATGCTATCATTACAGTATTATTATTTCTACCCCATTTTCTCTGCATAAAGACCCTTAGGCAATTGCATTTAAGTGATGCCTGTAAGATCACTCAGCAATTCAGTGACAGACTGGAACTCAAGCCTCCTTACTTCCTTGGCCAGTATTACTATGAGAGAGGCTACTCTCTCTTCACCCTTCTTAAAATGGTCATGTGATGGCACACAGCTTAGATATTATTTGTATTTACTTTCACACACAAACACACACACACACACACACACAACAGTACATTTACAGACTTAAAGTTATTTAAATGGAATTGCTTTGTTATTAAATCAGTAGCTTCTTGGCAACAGGTGAGCATTAGAGTCACAGCCGTAAAGCATTCGAGATAGTGTATTTTAATTTCTGATTGTCATTTTTGATGTGATTACTGCGTTTCATGAGAAAGAAGTGTTCCCCCCTACCCCCTATGAGCCCATTTAAGTTACTGTCTTGCAACTTTGTGGGAGCCGGAAATGGCTATGAAAATTCCTGATAATGGCTGATAAGAAAACTCCTTTGGAGTCAGCAGGCAGCTGTGCTTTTGCATGCTTTTTGTGGAAAGAGCCAGCTTGGGCTCTGCATTGTCAGAAACAGTACATGTAATGGGATTGAGTTGCCTGTCTCCGTGATTAAGTCAATGTGCAGAGACATTTGTGGAAGACATCCACTGATGGACGCCTGGGTCTCAACTCACAGTTTTTATCAGCTTATTAGTGGCAGCAGCTCAAATGGAATTATATTACAGCTATTATACTCCATTACAAATACCAAACAATTTACTTCTGCTGAGATTCACACTGACAGCTCCTCTTGCCAGCAGTAATTTTTTCCTATATGCATGCTTAAGAAATTGCAGGAGAGAGTGTTTTATTCTTTCAGCATTTGATTCAATTGAATCATATGAAACTGAGAATAAAAGCTTTTCAGAAGAAGGTTTAGGATGAAAAAAAAATTAAATGATATCTTTTTTGTTCCAGGAGCTAGAATATGTTGAAAAACTACATAAAATAGAAGGTTTCTTGATCTTCTTCTTGCTTCATCTTTTATAGTTTTAAAAATGCAGGGAAAGTAGTAATACTAGTTAAGAAAACCTGTTGTTTTACAAATATTTTAAAGGCACTTATTTTTGAGTGGAATAAAACTATATAAACTATATATTTTTTCTAATTAAGCAATGTGAGCACATTTAAATGGCTTAGAAAGGTCTTAGGTAAAGCAATAGAGTTATAAATTTTAGACCTACACCAGGGCAGGGCTCTATAGATGCTCGTTCGGCTATCAGTGGGTGACATATGTTTATCTTCTCACATTATTAAAATTAATAGTGTAGGGCTGCCGTAAGCTCCGTAGTTCCTGGTTGGAACTTATTTTTCCTTTCCTCTGAAAAGATTAATTGTTAAGCTGCCAGGGAGCAAGGGGACAAGGTATAATAACATAGCTAAAGGTTTAATTACCGCCTGAAAACTTTTGTCCTTCACTTTGAATTTGCTTTTGTAGGCATAAGGAGGACTTTTAAGGAGCCTGAGCCGGGCTTGTAAACTTCAAAAATAACTTTGGGGTTATGTATGGCTGCCATACAAGGGAATGGCAGCTTTCTCCTCCAGGTTACACATATTCAAATGAGTCACAAGCCACCAAAAGCTGGAAGTTGTTAACATCTGAAGGCTGTTGGTGGCCTCTGAAAAGGAGATGGTGGAGTCAGAACAGTTTCTAATGGACAGGTGCATGTGTCTCAGAAACCTCTGCTGTAAGCGCTAATTGGCCGATTCTAGTTTTTCCAGATGTCAGATCCTGACCCAAATAGTCTGATTTCTGGGTTTTGGAAGGAAATGTTGACAAGGCCTAGGAGACAAGGTTGATAAGGAACAGAGTTTAGAGTGATATGATTTGACCGTTGAAAATAGGGGCTATCATTTAAGACCGAGTTAGGAGCGCTTTGGCAAATTCAGTACCAAGTCCAAGAGAAGGTCTCTTACAGACACCAAAGGCTTGTGTCTGAGCTGAGCCACCTGGTCATATAGTAAGATGCTGGAAGAAGTGGGCATTACTACTCACAAATTCTGTGCTTATACAATGTTACTTCCAAAAGTCACATCCCAGAATTTTTCTTCTAAACTACATTTAACTATACTAGAAGAAATAAAGTAGTAAAGTTTTATCACAGAAAAAAATGTTTTGCACTTTTGTGTTGTTTTCTTTACAGGGCAGAAGCATCCTGAAGTGACAGTGCTCAATATATTTTCTGATCAAGACTATAACAGATCAGTCATTACAATAGCAGCTTCTGTTGACAAGTTGGGTAAGATTTCAGTTTTTTTCTTTACATATATGTCTTTTATTTGATGAAGGGTAGGCTTCAGGTAGAGCTGAATGTTCTATAATCATTGATTTCCTGTGTAAATCTAAATACTCCCCTCCATGAAGTAGTCTGCTATAAAACTATATTTCATCATTTTTCTGAACATGTATATCTCAAACATTCTCCATTTCTTCTTTATCACAATGAATACTGGGGTCCAAGATTTAATAACATTCTTTTGCTGAAGATGATCACATATCCTTTGTGCAGAAGAAAAACATCTTCAGGTTTTCACTTGTGCAGTACTAGTGTTGAAGTCAGCCTCACCGTCCCTGACAAGTTGGCATGGAATGAGACATGCTAAGCAGTGTGTTTTGTGTTGGGAGCCTGAGCTGTTGAGTTGGGCCATGGGTTGAGTCAAAATGGGCTCCATGTCTCATAGGGATGTTGTAAGGTTGAGTAGAATAATTTAAATTAGAAGAATCACAGTTGTTTAAACAAAAACCTGTATTAATATCCCCACATTTTCAAATAAAGTGATTTTCAACTTGGCAGATTGTTTTCTTTCATAAAGTATGTTTTCTTGGACAAGAGAGGGAAAAGTTAACTGATAACACCATGCAAGCATAGGACAGATTATTCTGAATTAATATAAGATTAAAATCTGCTTTTATCTCTATTGGTAAAATGGTTATACTGTACTGCTAATAAAAACTCAGAGTACTAACAGAAAACTCTTCTGTGTTTATAATATGTATTTACATATAATAAGTCAACGAAAAATCTAATTACTGGATAAGAGCAAAACTAAAATAAGTATTTATGCTTTTAAAAATTTGTGTTTATGTGTATATTATAACTACTCATAAAGCATTCTGAAAATAACAAGGAATTTGATCAGATTAATTGGAGAAAATAGAGAAAAATCTAAATTAACCAATTGTAAAAAAATAACAATGTGATATAAGATCAATACACTTTGCATAATTTGTCCACTTTGGGGAGAAAAAAGCCGGAAGATGTGAAATTTTATGACTGTTGAGAGATGGGGCAAGGGTGGGGAGAAATGTTGGATCTCTTTTATTACTTGGGATGAAAAAATCTTCTATATGGCTTATAAAAGAAAAGCAGCTAATGGGGCAACAAAATCATGGCTTTTTGTTTAGATGCAACTGAAAGCTTCATAATTGTTTTTCACAATTTTACATTTTTAGGCAGTGCTGTTCTGGCTGCTTGCTTGGAGGCCTTCCGTGCTATCGATATGGAGGTTCAAGAGGGAATCCACCCTTGCCTGGGAGCTGTGGACCTCATTCCGATTTACCCGCTCTCGGGTGTCGGAGTGGAAGAGTGTGGGGTGGTGGCAAGAAGTAAGAGAAAGTTTGAGGTTGTGTGTTATTCCTTACTGGAAACTGTTTTTACAGACCAAAGCAGCTTGTGACAATCTAATCACCCCTCAACTCCCTGGGAAAAGTCGATCTTGAACAATTCTGTCAGCAGTAAGTGGTCATGGGTTGCGGTGGTGCACGGTGTCTTTGGGACTCATCCTCCTACTTTCCACCCCGTGACATTATGGAATGCTAAATGCTGTGAGATGTGGCAAAGAAAAAAATTATCAATAGTTTTGTCCCTTACAAATTCACAGGAGAGCACCAGGCAACAACAGTAGTTTCTAATGAGTCCCTTGGATTCTTCAGGGCAGAACGAGGGTGTGTTTTGCCCATCTGTGTCCTATTTTCTTGAGCGGGGGTAATGATGAGGTTGAAAAACCACTTAAATGTTAACTCCTACCCTTTTCTCCTCTGATTTTTTTCTTTTTTCCCTATGTACAACTCTCTCTAAGATTTTCTTTAGAGCTGAACTGTCACATGCATGATTTCAGCCCCAGGGGTAAGGTTAATTTGGAAAATTTGAGCTGTGTCACTTGAGGTGTTTTTGAGTTAGGCAAATTGGGAGAAAAGAAAGACCTTTCGCCAGGACTGACTCTAGCTGTACCACGGTTAATTACGAGATGCAGAGGCTCATAATCTTTGGGGGAAAGTCCGCCTTAGGATAATTGCATTCTTTTCTGTGTGACCTCAGAAACCCTCTATGATGTTACCTCATTTTTAATTAACGGTGAATTGTCTAACATTTGGGATGTAGATTTGGACTTTCGCTGAGCTACGTCAAGCACCAGAAATAGGAAATGAGACTTGTTTCCAGAGGAGTTCCTCACTGCTTGGGCTGCATTTTCCTGTGACCTGACAGTCGAGGGGTTGTTTCCCAGGGAAATCTCGGCCCCACATTTGCTTTACTTTTTAATCCAAGAAAGAGTTAAAATTCAGCATGGGGAAAATATGTTTCACGCAAAAATGAAGAGTTCAGAATTGTCCAGACCAGAGTAATGATTTTAATTGTCTTCAAAACAATTACGGACAATTACATTAAATCTCAAATTAGCTGGTACACGAAGTTCTTCATTCCGTCAGGACTCGTCCACCCCAGATGTGCGTCCTGTGTGGGAGACGGTTGCGAATCAGTGGGCCTGGACACAGCGTTTCTGCCTTCCCTTGCCCTTTGCTTCATTGGCAGCTACTATACCTCATGATTTAAACATGGACATTTCTAATTAAATGAGAGCTCAGCTGCATTCTTGAACTAATTTATAACATTTGATTTGAAATGTAATAGCTTCAATCTTCATCTGATTAAAAACAGTCATATACTGTACATGGTTACTATTTTGATGCTCCAACATGCAGTTTTTATTTTTACATTCCCTTTTCTACACAGCTGTTCATCTAATATCATCCAAATTTTTTTAAGTTTTTTTTTTTTTTTTTTTGGTAACAGCATGCTCAGGCATTCTTATGAGGCAGAAGTATTCACATTCTAGGATCCCGCTGTTCTCAGAACAGTGAAAGGATGTTTTTCACTAGAATCAGGCTTTCCCAGGGAAACCAACTTTAAGGTAATAATTTAGCCAACCTTCTTTGGACAAAGAGCAGTGGATAGCATCCTGGTGACATAAAAGATAGTTAATACTTTGATAGATATGTGTAACTTATGTATGCTTTGTATGCAAAAATGCTGAAGAATATATTTCAGAACTTTTTGGTTATCAGTTATAAGCTTGCTTATTAAACCTTAAGGAAGGGGATTTTAAGGTGGATCCAAAATTGGAGTTTAGGGGATTTGTAAGTACTGTCAACATTTTTTACAAGGTTGTTGTTTTTTTTTTTTTTTGGTAGAGATAGGGTCTCGCTCTGTCACCCAGTTTGGAATTCAGTGGTCTGATCATAGCTTACTGCAGTCTTCAATTCCTGGGCTCAAGTGATCTTCCTGCCTCAGCTTCTCAAAGCACTGGGATTACAGCGTGAGCCACTGCAGCCCGCTGAACTCTAGATATCCACATATCACACTTACATTGGTACTTCTTGGTTTTTCAGTTTTAGGCATTGTCTATTGACTTCTCACTGCAGAAGATGAGAATTTATCTCCCTCTTACCCCTCCCCTCACCTCCAACACACACAAACACTTTCCAGTCCTCCCTCTCTCTATATATTTATATCAAAATTTGGATCAATGGTGCTTATAACTATGTAAACACTAGTCACAATGAATAATTTATTTATTTATAGAATGTTATTATTATTTTACCTTTTCTACATAACTTTTTCTTTCTGCTGGAGTTGATCATTATCTTTTTGATTGTCTGTTTGCTTAGTGTTTTATTATACTTATCACTGGTTTAACCCTGGATTCTCTGTTAATAACTACATCTCTCCATACATTCAGATAGAACACTCCATGCAATGAGTGTTCTGTCAATTTCATCTCTTAAATATCTTCTAGAACTCTTTAACCTGTTCCAGTTAGGACTGGTTGCCCTCAGTGTGTTGAGGATAACTGTCACTCTGGGATCTCCCTTCGCCATCGTCTTGAATGTTCCCTTCACCTTTCTCTGTGTTAGATCCCCTTGTCCTAAACCTGAATCCCATGTCTTCTCTCTCTCTTTTGTTTTCTTTCTTAGTTTATGTCCTTGTTTTGGTGGAATACATCCTCTAGTAGCTTTCTAAAAAAAAAGTGAAGTATGTTTTTGAGACCTTGCCTCAAATGTCTGAAATGCCATTATTCTGTCTTTACGCTTAATTGTTAGTTTGACTAGGTATAGAATTCTGAGTTCGTAATAATTTTCATTTGAAAACATTGTGTCATTCAGTTCTTATTTCCATGTTGCTATTGAGACTTCTCAAGCCATTATGATTCCTGTTCCTTTGTATGTGATCTGTCATTTCTCTGTGGAAGCTTCTGAGATCTTCCCTTTGTTTCCATTGTTCTGCAATTTCTGTGATATGCCTTTGTATGAGTCTTTCATCCATTGTGCTGGATACTTGCTGGGCCCTTTTAACTCTTGGAACTCTTGTCTTTCAGTTCTGGAAATTCTCTTGAATTATTCCACTGATGATTTCTACCATTTTCTCGATTCTTTCTGGAAACTCCATTATTTAGATATTAGAACTCTTGTACTGGTCCTCTGTATTTCTTTTACTTCTTTTTATTTCAAAATTTTACATAGGTACAAACTTTTAGGTTACATATATTGCCTTTGCACTGCCCGAGTCAGAGCTACAAGCATGCCCATCCCAGACAGTGCACACTGCACCCATTAGGTGTGCATTTATCCACCCCCACCTCCCCTTCCCACCTGCCTAACACCCAATGAATGTTACTTCCATATGTGTTTCTTTTACTTTCTCTCTTATTTTCCACTATATTTTTATGATACTTTCTGGAAAATTTCCTTACTTTATATCCCAAGCCTTCCATAAGTTTTTAAATTTTTTCTATATTAACTTCCAAGTGCTTTTATTTACTCTGTAAATATTCCTTTTATTTTATTTTTTAAAATAACATCCTGGTTTTATCTTGTGATGGCATCATCAGTGGATAATTTGGGCATTTCTTTTTCCTGTGTTGTCTCCTCCACCTCCCTGCCCCTCCACTCTGTTGCCTTTTCCTGTTTGTCTTAAAGGCTTTCCTCAGATATCTGATGATCCCTAGTCGGCTGCTTACTCTAAGAGTGGCTGCTAGAAGGCTGAATGGATACTCTGAGTATATAGGTGGAGTTTATCAGCTGTAGGGCTGAGTCGTGTCTTTGGGAACCCCACTTTAATAGTTTTTGGTCTTTTCTCTTGAGCTATTCAAGTTCCCCATAGAAGGGCCTTCCAGTCTTCAGCCTGGAGTGTAGACACAGCTGCCAGTGGTTTAGAAGCTGACTGGCAGAAGAGGGCTAATTCCTTTCTTTTCATTACGTATCACTGCTCTCAACCATGCCCGGTATTCCCCAGCCCAGACACCTCATGCCTTACCTCTTGCATCCTGCCAGGGTGGGCCAAAGCAGGTGTCTATCTATGTGGAGCAGGGATGGGGTTTGACTGCTGTTTATACAGGTTTCTTATCAATCTTCCTGTTGTGAGCTTCCCTCTACCTTCCCTCCCAAAGTGGGGCTGTCAGTTCTGACCATGGTCAGGTGTCTGTGGTACAAGTCAGGCTGCTTCTCTGCTGTCCCTCTTGCTGCCTTATTAAATCACCTACCACTTGTATGTTTGCTCTCCCACTCCAATATGATTGCCTCCTCCTCCATTTCTCTTTGTTTGAGTAAATGCTTGAAAAGAAATCTCTTTACCATCTTTTTCCTGGGGTTTGTGGAAGAAGTGAAACAAAAGTAAACATTTGGATCCACATTCCCATCTTTTCCTAGAAGTCCTTACTTCCCTGATTCTTAGCAATTTTTAATTGTCTTGAATCCTTTCAAGAACAATGAATCCACCTAATTTGGAATTGTTGGTAAATTTATAGGAATATTCATTCTTCTTTTGTCTGACTTCTAACTCAACATTAAAGATACTTAGTCTGAATTTCTGGACTGCTATAAGTTTTTGACAGACAATTTCTCTGCAGGATTACTGTGGACCATAGTGCTTCTTATATGTTTTCTACATCTTCCTTACTCAGTGTTTTTATGTGCAGGAGCCAGTGTCTTTGTGATATGACCCTTTTGCCCGTTCACATACAACCTTCCATGAGAAGGATTGAGTGAAGAAGGAGGGGAGGGGTCAGGGTGGAAGTTTCTTAGGCAAATTCTCCCAATGACTTTCCAGTGAAAACAGGCTCACCTAACATGTAGGTTCTTAATATTTAGCTTTAAGAGTCTGGACCATAGTGATAAATTTTGTAAGTGATACAGAAACTTGATTTTTGTTTTATGTTATTGATCAAGTGAAATAATGTTTTCACAATGCCCTATAAATTGAAGTTATTACTTAGATGACTGGAAAGATAAAATAGTAGCTATGTAAGTTATATGAATAAAAAAATAGCTCT